AAGAATGCACAACTCTTTTTTATTTTAATTTTTTCTTAATGTCATTTTTATTATTGATAGTATTGTTTGGAATTATATGCAGGTGACTAAACTAATGAATTTTTATTCTTGCAGGTTGAATTTTAACAAGACTGAAGACTATAGTTTGATGAAAGGTATTCAATGACTGCATTGCAAGCCATCTTTTAACTTGACACATGTATTTTTGATACATTTCTTTTTTGGAAATAAGAGGAAAGAAAAAGAAGGATTTACAATTATCTTACATATTTAATGAAATTACTTACATTCCTCAAGACTTTGATATGAAAAGTTCACCAGAGAATCACAAAGATGATTGTCCGAGTGATTGAAGGGGGACAGAAATCATCCCCGGTCAATGCGCCAGATCCCAAAGGCAAGGACTTTTCGTGCCAGACAGCCCTTGAAGATGGTATCAGCACTGACATTCCCATATTCTTTTGCACTCTTTATGCTTCGAGTGAAGAAGCTGCCACACAATGTTACATACCGTCTCCTAAGTTAGATAGCAAAGCTGTCAATAAACCTGAAACTAGTCAATCAGAGTCCAGTTTGGGAACAAAGTCTAGCCAACTGCAGATGGACCATTTGCAGCAGACCATCGAAGAAGTGATCGAAAATGCGAGACGAGAAGAGGAGGATGAGAACAGCTTCGACAGTATCCAGGCAGAAGACCACTTTGATGCATATGATGAAGTGGAAAGACCAGAGGACCAGAAAACTGCTGAAGACCAGGGACCAGCGAGTAAAGGAAATTTTGCGGCAAAGCAGGGAAGGCCACCAGAACAGCAGAACCAAACAGCAAGTCAACAAGGGCCGTTGTTAGAGCAGCAGAGAAAAGGAGTCGATCAGCAAGCACAGGTATCCAAGAAAGGTTAGTGTGGAAAGGCGTTCTTATTATTCAACTTGGCTTTGTTCACTCTTATTCTGCTTTTCTCTTGCTCTGTATCTTTCTGCCTTTCGTTTCCCTTCTGTCCTGCTGTTTATTGTGTTTATTTTATTGTCTCATGCTCTCTCATTGTTACACTATCTCCATGTCTTGTTTTTTCTCTCTGTCTCATTATCTCTTGCTGATTGTCTCTCTCATTCTCTCTTGCTATTTCTCTCTCTCTAATTCTCTTGCTAATTGTCTCACTCAAATTCTCTCTTGCTAATTGTCTCTCTGTGATACTCTCATACTAATTGTCTCACTCTAATTCTCTCATGCTATTTGTCTCTCTCTGATTCTCTTATGCTAATTGTCTCTCTGATTTTCTCTCTTTTCTAATTGTTTTACTCTCTCTGTTTTTCTCTTTATCTCTACCAGTTATACTAACTGGCAGTTAGCTCTCATGTTTTTACAGTTTTCACTATTCGCTAGTATTTTTTTATGGAGTTTTATCAATTATGCAATGGTATGGGATATGAATAGGTTCTGAAAACTGTAGCTTACTGTTGTTTGCTTTAGTACTGTTTCATTTTCTTCTCTTTATTTTATATTTGCCAGGAATTAAGAAATACCTAATGAATAAACTTATTAAAATGTAATGTTAGATTTGACTTTGAAGAAAATATTGCATGTTTAGCATTTATAAGTTACTTATATAAAATGCTAATGTTCTATAATTTTATGTTTCCATGAAGGAATATTCCTGTCACATGACCCTCAGCTACGTTTTTAATGATCATAAAAAATCCAATGGGTTAATGATAATGGGAGAGAGATTATTGCCGACAGTTTGTCTCCAAGTATTACATTTCAATCACCTTTGCTCTGTTTTATGTGAAGTGTCTTGTAAAATTCTTTCTTTTGTGATACTTGTATTTTTTTCTTTTTACTTTCAAGATTACCTTTGTTTGTATGATCACTGTATTAGCTTCCTCCCTAATTGTTTGCAAATTGACCACTTATTAACCCAATGCCGTTGGGAAATTGTTGCATTCTATTTAGTTTTGTTTTGTTAAATGCTTCTTCACAAAGATGGCTCTGTCAGTGCTAAGCCACAAAGGAGTCAATTAGTAGGCCTCGTGACCTCACCTTTCCTTGAAATAATGGGAAAATGCTTTTTTTACTAGTGCCATCAATATTGATACTGTTATTTTTGTAATAAACATTATAATTAATATATTGTTACTGACAGTACTAACAGCAGTTTTAAATGCTAGAAAATATTATCAAAAATCAAGCAAAAGGGTAAACAGGTGAGACAGGTACTTCGTGTAACTGGCTCATTGGCGACCTAGTACTTGCCAAGCCATTTATATGTTAAAACAATGACTAAATGAAACACACAGTGGGCATGGCATGTACACACATGCCCTTCCTGACGGCATGTGGTCAAGACAGGATAGTTGGGAGTGACAGTGTTTCATGTTTTGTGCGATCATCTGCAGTATTTGGCAGAGAAGAAAGCCATGTTCAGTTTACTTTTGGGGATAATATGGTGGCTGTGTCAATTTTTGATAGCCATATACCTGGTCGGTAAAGGTCGCCATATGTGAATTTGCCAAATGCAAGCCTGCCAAGTATGAAGATACGTGCTGTGGTAGAAAGAGATGGATAATATCCTTTGAAGCCCCTGATAACCCTGCCATGTAGTCTGTGCTGCCTTAAAATCGTAGTTTTGTTGGGGGCATGAAATGGCAAAGGATTGCACTATCCAAGCCCTACTGGTATCTGCTTTAGTAGAGGGGAGGAGCTCTGGAATTAGAGGACGAAAAGAAATTAATAGTGATGCTTTTAGTGCTATTAACCCACATCACTGGGAAAATGTTGTGTTCACTGTAGTATTTAATGAAATGTCTGTTCATAGATGGCTCCACAAGCGCTAAGCCGCTAAAAATTCAATTAGTAGACCATGTGACCTCACCTAATTTGGGATTTTTTTTTTTTTTTTTTTTTTTTTACTAATGTCAATATTACGACTGTTATTATATTTTTAGACATTATGATTATTATAAATTTATTGACATTATTATAAGCAATATAAGATACCAGAGAATATTTCCGAAAGTCAAGGAAATAGTTAAACAGGTGAGATAGATAGTACTCGTAATTCACTTATTGATGACAGTACTTGTGGAACCATCTATATGAAGGCGTTTAACCACTTGCTGGCGGGAACGGCATTTGTGTACATGCCATGCCCACTGTATGTTTAATTTGGTGATTGTTTATACATATAGATGGCTCCACAAGTACTAAGTCACCAATGAGCCAATTACAAGAACTACCTCTCTCACCTGTTTACCCTTTTCCTTCATTTTCGATAACATTTTTGAGCATTTCATACTGCTGTTAGTAATGTCAATGACCATATAGTAATTATAATGTATATAACAAAAATAATTGTGTCAGTATTGATATCATTAGTAAAACAAGTGTTTTTCCACTATTTCAAAGAAAGGTGAGGTCATAAGATCTACTAATTGACTCTTTGTAGCCTCACACAGGCAGAGCCATATATGTTCAGAACATTTAACAAAATACTAAACTGAATGCAACATTTTCTTGTTGGCATTAGGTTAATAAACTAAACTCAAAGTGAGGATGGCATGTATGTACATGTCACACCCAGTGACATCAGTTTAAAGATAGAGGGGATGTGTGAAGCTACCCTAGTTCATTTGTGTTAGTTTTGACACTCATAACTCCATCCATACTGAGTGGTTGTTATTTTCAGTTAATTGGTTATGCAAAGAATATGAATTTTATTAAGCTAAAAGTTATCTAGACAATACTAAGCACTGCAATTCAATAGGGTGTATTTGCCATGAACAGGGACTTCACAAACTTTTCTATTCAAGAAAATAAAACATTGCTAATTCTGTACATTTGAATACAGCACAGAGCTTCATCATGCTGGTGGGTAAATTGACAAAATCTGTCTTTATGTTCTGTGACTCCTATCTTGTGAGGGTGTTTTATGTATTTTTTTAGGAGAGCAAGTTCCTGATCATGACCAGGAGTTTAACTTTTAAGGCATTCATACCAGATGACTTCTGTTCTTGTCACTTGTTTGACCTTGACTGCAGTCTTTTAGGAGGTACAGCCCATCAAAAGAGGCTTAGTCACCTTTTAGTCTCATTAACTGACAGATCACATATGATAGTCAACATTGCATAGAGTAGATACAACACATGTTTCCCATGCTTCTAATTTTTCACTTGAATGGCTGTCTGTGTGCAGTGCCTGGTTTGTGGTACCGGTATGACGCCAGTTATCATTTGGTTAAAACAAGAGACAGTGACCATGCACTACTATACGTATGCCTTCTTGGAGGTTAATTACCCTATTGTATATTAGTTGCTCTTCCTCTGAAGTTATATCTGTAGGATGTCATGCTGACTTTCCGAGGATGACCGTAATAATGTCATGCAGGCTACCTCTAACCTTTTCCTACTTTCATTTCAACACCTACATTATCTTTTTCTAATGTTTGATTAGACTCATACCTAGTTTACTGTCTTGCTTTTTTTCTTTGTACATTTTGAGTTTTTCTTTGAAACTTCCACATTGTCAACATTACCAGAATTACAATTATTTTGCAACTTTTTCTTTAAAAATTTGTCTCATTCCAACTCTAAATGAAAAATTTGGAATATATTTACAATAGATTTACTTTAATATCAAGATCTTTATAGCCATAAATCCATTGCTGTTAATGCTACACAAGTACGGGTTACCCATGTGTGTAAAAAAATCAAATCAAATCAAATCAATACAACCCAAGTTTGCAGTTTCTTGATGGTACACATGTTTGTTACATTTCCTCATGAGTGCACCTTTATTCCTTTCTTGTTTCAGACAAAACAATTTTTGTATCAACATTTTTCATCAGATTTTTCAGTATCTGAAATTATCCCCTGAAACTTCAAGCCCTGTGATTTTTGCTGTTGTTGGATTTGTGGTTGCAATTGCTTCTCTGCATCTAGCCTAGATGGTTTAGTTTAGTTTAATTCCATTTGTTACAATGGTTATTCTTTGCTGTGACAAGCTG